AGAAGTAAAAGCTTTACTTGTGCTACGATTTGTTAGCTCAGAGAGAGAGAGAGAGAGAGAGAGAGAGAGAGAGATATTTATAAGCTTTACTTGTGTTGCGATTTGTTAGATCTGAGAGAGAGAGAGAGAGAGAGAGAGTTAAGCTGCGATATCCAATGTCTCCTGCATGCTACTTGAAGCCTCAAGAAGAACAACTGCAACAGTTGAATTACAATGAGGAGGGGATGGGTGACAATGGCGCCGAGCTCGGCCTATCGAACATGGCTAAAATGGATCTGCATCCAGTCTGCTTTAACCTGCTTCCGTGGGATCATGCCTCGTCAGCGTGGTTTTCTCCTCCGCTGGAGCTCAATCGGCAAAGGAAGAAGCAGCGGACCACCAACAGCGTCGCGGCCATCACCGTCGTCGGGGGAGATGATGTTGATGACGACCGCTCGGATTACGCCCGGAAGCTTCGTTTCCGCGATCTGCTCCGCACCTACAAGCAGAGGATCTCGGCGTTGGAGGTGGTCGAGGAATCGCCTGAATCCGATGGGATCTTCGAGGACGGCAGCGGCGATGGCATGAGGCTGGTGCAGTTGCTCATCTCGTGCGCCGAGGCGGTGGCGTGCCGCGACCGGGCGCAGGCGTCGGCGCTGCTGTGCGAGCTCAAAGCCAGCGCGCTGGTCCTCGGCACTTCGTTCCAGCGCGTGGCGTCTTGCTTCGTGCAGGGCCTCTCAGACCGCCTTGCGCTCGTGCAGCCGCTCGGCGCCGTCGGCATTGTCGGCCCCGCCACCGTCCCGCCACTGGCGCTCGAGAAAAAGGCCGAGGGGCTGCGCCTTGCCTACGAGCTGTGCCCGTACCTCCAGTTCGGGCACTTCGTGGCCAACGCCTCCATATTGGAAGCCCTTGAGGGAGAGAGCTCCGTCCACGTGGTGGACCTCGGCATGACCCAGGGGCTCCCCCATGGCCACCAGTGGCGGCAGCTGCTCGATAGCCTCGCCGGCCGGGGCAGCCCACCGCCCCGCCGCCTCCGCATCACCGGCGTCGGCACCCGCGTCGAGCATCTGCAGTCCATCGGCGACGAGCTCAAATCCTACGCCGCGAGCCTGGGCATACACCTCGAGTTCCTCGTCCTGGAGAGCAACTTGGAGAACCTGAGGACCGACGACTTCGAGATCGAGCAAGGCGAGGTCGTCGTCGTCAACAGCATCCTGCAACTGCATTGCGTCGTCAAGGAGAGCCGAGGGGCGCTCAACTCGGTGCTGCAGGTGATACACGAGCTGTCGCCTGCGGTGCTGGTCCTGGTGGAGCAGGACTCGAGTCACAACGGCCCCTTCTTCCTGGGCAGGTTCATGGAGGCGCTGCACTACTACTCGGCGATCTTCGACTCGCTCGACGCCATGCTGCCCAAGTACGACACGAGGCGCGCGAAGGTGGAGCAGTTCCACTTCGCGGAGGAGATCAAGAACATCGTGAGCTGCGAGGGGCCGGCGAGGGTGGAGAGGCACGAGCGGGTGGATCAGTGGCGTCGCAGGATGAGCCGCGCCGGATTCCACCCGGCACCCATCAAGATGATGGCTCAGGCGAAGCAGTGGCTGGCGAAGTTTAAGCCTACTGAGGGATACACCATTGCCGAGGAGAAAGGGTGTCTTGTGCTTGGTTGGAAGTCGAAGCCCATCATCGCAGCTTCTGGCTGGAAATGTTAAGACATCGAAGCACTTCATCCTTCTCATATTTGGTTGCTGCTGCAGCAGTAGCCTATTGTTCTTAGTTGCAGAATTCCACCACTACTGCTACATCTATTACTATCTATCTATTACTACTACTACTATAACTGCTATTACTGAGTGGTTAAGAATAAAGAACAGCTACAAAGTGATGCCTCTTTAAGAGAAGTACTTCCCATATCTTTTGCTGCTAATTAACTTGACCTCAACAAGGATTGTATGTTCAGCTAGCAATGTTAGTGTTTGAGTTTGTGCATTGTTGCATCAGTGATGGGTCTCATATTCGAGTTCACGGTTTAATGTAATGGAAATATTTTTTGTAGTGTTTGAGTGTTTGAAGGTCTCTGGTATTCACATTTTAGTCTGTTTAATACTGGTAAGAATGTCCACTTGATCATCGACTGAGAGAAAATCTCAGTCTAACAATTCTCATGATAATTTAGACAATATAATGGACAGCAGAAAAGCTTTTCCAAATTCATATATTAAAATGACATCTTACCTCGTGTCTTTTATTTTGTTTTAACTTTGCGTAGATTTCTTTCTTTCGACTTCTTCTCATCCAAAATTATTAGGTTGAGACTGACATGAACTCAATTTATTGGTCTCGAAACAAGCAATTGATTTGTCAGTAGATGGAACGAGAAGAAATAATTCCATGAACAAAAGAACAAGGCAGCAGCAGTAGTTGATGATATCAACTAATAGAACCTTTTATTGAAACGGAAGTACAAACTTGTTCTACAACTAATATTTTATATAAGATCATTCCAAAGAAGCATCTAATTTAGGCTCCACAGAAATCTGGAAACAAGAATCTTTCATTGGTCGAGGAAACCAAACTAGGAACCAAGTATGCTTTGGGCTCTCAGAGTTGTGATAATGACTAATGGCAAGGAAGACCATAGCATGCAAAGTTGACATATTCCAGTGATCCACGAGACTAAGTCACATGTCAGCAAGGTTGACAAAAACTATACATAGACAAGCTTCAAAACAAAGAACAGATTCCTCGATGCACGTTAAGCAATCCGATTCCTTGTACAAAGATGATGGACAAGACAATATATCTTGAACTATCAACTACTAATAAGGTATCACATTCATTCAAGACCTTAATCAGGACTCATTTACAACGAAATGGAGACTGCAATGAGAAATACTAGCCATAAACAATCCAGAAAACACTAATGGGTAAAGCAATTGCCTGCAAATCCCTAATAACATCAACTTTTAGATTGACAGCCAAAAGCATCAGAAATTTATCGGTCATGGTCTTCCTGTAGTGACTAAAAACTTTTTGCTGCTTCAATATTCTTTTCAAGCACGTCCCACGGACTGTGTGATAACTTCTCGATCCTCGAGGACCTGATAAACCAGACAACACCGAAGCATTAAGGTAAGACAACAATTACGAGACATCGATATTGACCATGATATCATGTTAGACTGAGTATGTTGAGCTACCACATAGAAATGGCACTAAACGGACAGAACTTGATGTGGTATGGTTCGGGGATCAATCGCAGACTCCCTGCTTGCAGCTTTTGAGGCAGCAATTTCTTCAAGGCGCTTCCATGTGGCTTCCCCTTTCGACCTGATTTCCTTGTCTTTAGCTTCGTCTTCCTCAAACTTCTTCAAGCACTCAGAAACCAGATCAGGATCATGATCAGTGAAAATCTTGCGGACGTTGAGTGTAAGGCTCTGAACAGCCTGGTTCCAGTGGCTCTTCGTGTTTTTCTCCAATGCAGGAAAGATGATAGGCAATATAACCTTGCTATTTTGTTTAATCAAGTTCTCTATATGATCATTATTCCAAAGGAACAATGCTCTTTCAGCCACCTGCATAACGAGCAACAGAAGATTCAAGACTGGACATCCATCCCCAACTCTTAAAACTATGACCGCATTCTATGGCACGTGGCTTGCAGCAGAATTCTAATAACAAGGCAGCACGCTGGACCCAGGAAATCCAATTAACATTTGGGGACCATAATCACCAGAAAAAATCAGTCAACTTAGATTTATTCACTTTTATGGCAAACTTAGTCATTCTTGTATACCACATAGCTATAGGTATAATCGTTGACTATTGCCATATATTCTTCATCCAAGTTGAAATACGAGGACAAGATACATGCCAAAGTTGGAATTACTAAAGATGGGCCATGTGGTTGAACTACAGTATCATCTGAGAAATATTCTACCTTTGTAAACTTTACATCCTATAGCTATCTATCCCATAAATCGGCCATGTGGTTCCTTCAGTAATCATTCATCAACAAGAATAATCAACACTAGTATTAAAAGAGAAGGAAATTTATTTAGTGACAGTTAATTTCTTGATGCTGATTTTGATGGTAATAATTCTTTACAGATGAATGATGCCAAAAACAGTGGCGTAGATGTGTGGGGCATCAAGCAAGGAAATTTACATGGTGATCATAACACAACAGCATGCTGTGTTCATTGACACCCCTCATTCCCCATGCTCCACATTTACAAGGCCTATTCTTCTTATCAAAAAATAAGAAAAATTTCTCAGACCACCATTTGACTTCAATATAAATAAAGTGGTCATAAATGTATTGTAAATATGTAGTGTCTATCACGATACAAATTTTTGTTTTATTCATATACTACCTGACTTATTCATTTAGGTGGAAGAAACAGTAAGTGAGCAAAACTAAGATTAGTACACACCAACTAATTGCTTTCTTTTGTGTTTGGACGAGGTGTTGACTTGAACATATCATCAGAACCAATACATTTTCTGTATACTTGCTGATGGATGATAAATTTATAATAATCAGTTTTTAATTCCAAAAATTGAAGATGAGAAAACCTGATTTGTAGGGAGGAAGTCCACAAGTGTGCAATTCAATCATACAAAGAAATATTGGACACTTGAGCAAATTCAATTAGTACAACAAATTTCTCTTGATCACTATCAATCATTAGATTCTAGTTGAGATTTTTATCAATTGCAAGACTTTATAATTAGCAATAAATTGTTATTTGGCACAAAAAAGATCAATTAGTTGAGAACATCTATATGTACAATGTAGTATGGTTGATAATTCATATTACTATTAACATTGTCACCGATGAGATGAATTCCGTATATGAAAAAATGGTGAAACATTGTTAAGATCAATAAAACTAAAAAAATTTCTTATGACACCTTGGTGATCAACTGGAGTAGGTTTAAGCACTCTCTGGCCAAGGGAAAAAGTAGAAAAGTACAATACATGAATATGCTTGTGCACCGGGAATATCACATAGCAAGATGTCTAAGACATCATGAAACATGGAACGGGAATGGAAGCATGTAAGCCCAACCAACATACTGTCATTGAGCAATGCAAACAAGGAGTTCGATGATTGTCCATGACAGTTTTCGGTTCTTGTTTCTCACTGTTTTCTTATGTTTTCGGTGTTTTCTTCATGGCAATTGTACGGGGTAGAAAACACTACTATCAACCTCATTTTTGTTTGTTGTCAATGTTTTTATTTCATGTATTAATCATGTAAAAATCGAAAACATTTTTTGCTATGCGACGCTGCACAAAGGGGAAAATGGCTCAAAACAACACCGTGGGTTGATTTCTGGTTGACAGCCTAGCGGTGTGAAACGTGAGTCATCTCAACACCTTGGAACCCCTGGGTGGCACCGGGGCAGATGAGGCTTTGGGTATGTCTGAGGGGTGATACAAAGTCTTTAGTGTGTCTGTTTTCTGTTTGATGAAAGTGCTAAGTGAACATTGGGCCTACATCTGTCTTCGAAGCCCCCTTTGTGTACGCTCGTTCATCCTATTTTCGAGACCCTTTCGTTCCTAATAAAAGCCGGTTGCTTTGTGTTGCTTTGGATCCTGGTTATCTTGCCCTTTTCGTGCATGATGATGGCAAATTACCCTCACATTCGTTTTTTTAATTTTTTCTTCATTGTGCAGGTCCTTTGTGGATTACACGAGGTTTTGCGGATACGTATCGCTTGGGTGCCGCACTGTCACGGACTTAGCTGGTTTTATCTAAGTCATACGGCACCCTTGCGTGTTCGTTCGCAAAGGTCAGCCTCCCCAAAACCTCCTATGGTCCCTTAGGACCTACAAAAGAGAAAACGGGCTAGAGAAAACGCCTCACTCGGGATCTACAAGCAAACACTTTAGAAAACACTTCATAACCAATGCAAATTACAAACAGACTTCACAAGCTCTGAACGGTTACACAACAAAGGATCCAAAATGGTCCACTACAGATCGAAATCTCTCACAAGTATCCACATGACACAACTTTTATTTATAAGCAAAAAATAACCACTAAACCCAACTAAATTGGGATTGTTAAGCCTTCGACCGTCCCTCTACATGCTGTGCAAAGCATGAACAAACCAAAAGACACGGACATACATGAGCATTATATTAAACACCCTGTTTACAATTTTGTCCGTGACAGCACGCCTTAGGGAATCCCAGCTAAGGATGTGACAATACTCTAGATGAATGTATCAAACTTATCTCTAAGTCTAGATGTCTAGTGTGGATAATAAAGATTTCAAAAATCTTTAATAAGTAAAAATTGAAGCCAACTACGTAACTCTATATAACGAAGGAAATTTTTCGGCCAATCCTAACATGCCTCCAAACTAAAGTTAAATGTTTTTTCTATAATTTCTTTGCTTTCCAATTCCTTGCATTAATTGTTTTACACAATATACGTTGTGTCCACAAATTGCTTTGGTTACTCCAACATAAGCAAGGTGCTAAAGTAAAAACAAGTTGTAAATTCCAAATTTGGGGTCAGCTTGATTTTTCACACGAAACTCTACTTAGCTCAACTAGTTAAACTGAAAGCGTTCACTCCCATATTATTCCTAGTAAAAACCTTTCAGATTTTTTCTTCCATTTATTATACCTAATTGCACTCGTACATGTATCCACCTCAAAATTCTCATCTCGTCCTACTGCTGACTGATAGGATATTTCCCTTCTTATAAGTACCCTCTTTCTTCAAGAGAAGGTATCCTCCATGAGACATTTAATACAGGACAGGAAGAAGAGAAGACATAAAAAGGAGCAACACAGATTATTAGTTTGATAACTTCAATTTAATTATATCTTTAGGGCTAACAAGACCTTTATCTTTAAACACTTTTTCGTGTCCTCTCCCAGACCTAAACAAAATAGGACTTCATAGATTTCATTAATTTCACGTCGCCACAAAATCTCCCAGTTACAAGTCTCTGTAACTCATAGAATATGACTCTAGATGCATTAAAAAATTACCTATAAGAACAATAATTGAAAATATAATATTTCTAATCCAAATTAAACTAAGCCTCATTTCATGATCCAAACAGGACTGGGACCTTTTTTTATGACCTAATTTGATCTTGACATTGGTCCTAACTTGGAGGAGGAAGAGATCACTTATTCGCTTGGATGAAAGATGTAAATCAGATTGTTGGCGTATATCCAACTTTTTGTTGAAGTCTCTCATCCTGGATTTTCAAGATGGTTTACCCATGACAGTTTGAAGCCTTAACAAGTGCAGCAAAACTTTTAAATAAATTTGATCCGAATTGGTCAAAATTTGCACCATTAAAAACTTTGGATTAATCCAATCCAGGCTACACCAAATTTTCATCATAATACTATTTAAATGATGATAACCTATTGGATTGGTACAGAATGAGATACTGACATTATACTACCTTGTACCGCTTGGTATCATTGAATTAATACATAATAAAACTGCATAGTATATCAAGTGTATCAACATGTTGATACATATGCTTTGATGAAATATTTCAAACCATGTATCAGAGCACGTAAATAATTTACTTTTATTTTGTTCAAAGGAGAGCAACAATCATTCAACACTTTGAACTCTCTACATTAACCATCATACTTCAACCTTATTAAAAATATCTTCATCGAACTCTCCTTCCTGTTGATTAATTGATCCAATATATAAAAAAATCTATCAACAGTTTTCGTGCATCTACTCTTATCTATAAGTTACTAAAGCTACAATATATATATATATATGTGTGTGTGTGTGTGTGTGTGTGTGTGTGTGTGTGTGTGTGTGTGAGTGTTGTACATCGAAGTGGTCCAAAACTGGTATATAAGTTCATCTCAGTGGCACATGTTTAGAGTGTATTTGAACTCAACTCTAGTATATAAAATATATAGCTGTAACAAATAGCATACACCACAGATTGCAATCTTATGCATCTTTGATAAGGTTACCATTATGATTGCAAAAATATAAGACATAAAGCTCAAATTTAATATAGATATTGTTATACTACTACATATCTATAGTTCTAACACCATAAACAACTCCATCATGCATATCCTTAATCACATCAATGTCCAAATCTAAAGATGTCCAAATTTAATATATCTATACAAAGTAGATGCATAAAATAATGCAAACAAGGGGCAAAAATACTCCAAAAGTAAAAAATTAGTAAGATTCATATTTAGATAAAAAAGGGGCATACCCAGTACACATAGCTCCTGTCAATGCAAGGTCTAGGAAGGGCCAACGTACACAGCCTTACTTTTAAAGATTTATATTTAGATCCAAATACCATAACCTAGACTAAGCTAGACTTAACCTTGTCCTTAGTCCACAGGCTTGGCTTACAACTGAACTGTCTTAACTCAAAACTTCATCAACCTTGAGTTCAAAATTTGAAGCCCAAGGTGGTAGCAGTTGTACCTTACAGTGGCTTGGTAGTTAGTGGACAATAAATATAGTGCCTAAAATCATGCAATTACGTTATACTAGTAACTAAATATTCAAGTAGAATAGTTTGAAGGGGATCTCTACCACATCCCACTGAAGCTGGAGTATGGCAACATTTTAGGCATGTGGGTGGTTTGTCGACCAACTTAAAGACAATTTGAGACTTCCAAAACATCATGGAGCTCAGAATCAAAAGAAATACGAGAGTCCAAAGCTGAACACTGCAGGACTTCTATATTGACTTAAACGACTTCATTGACTTGCTTGATGTTCAACAACCATGAAGGTAACACTGATGCACAAGGTGGAAATAAAAAGAGGAGCTAAAACAATAATCCTGATTCAGCAAGTCAACCAGTCACCAAACCCCACAACTTAAACCAAGTAATCTTTAGATCCATGTGGCGCATTTAAATAGGATTTTCCAATCCCAATCCTAATTGCAAATCAAATCAAGAGTCTTGGGAGAGTACCCCAATCTTGTCAATAAGTTCCTGTTCCTAATTAAATCCTGATTATGCGATAGGATCTCAAAGGAGTGAATATAGTAACACTCAGAATCCTGATTCCTGATAACAATCAGCATAGTCCCATTGGGAGTGAAATCCAATAACGTTATTTGACCGAAACAAGGAAGAGAGAATACATGCAAATTTCTGGGTTATTTTAATCATATTTTTATTGCAGCATATTGTAAATAGAATTAGAGCTTTAATAGTTCATGAATAAGGAGGTTTGAGAGCCCTAAAAATATCTTAACACCCATTCATTATCTTTTTGCAATTTTTCAATGATTTTCAATGATAAAATTAGCCTGTTTTAGTATATTTAATCGCTAGAGGCTATAGTCAACAAAAAAACATTGTAAACAATAAACCTATTAGGGAAAATGAAACAGAGGTTGCTCTGTGAAATTGGACTTCTTTTGTAGTCTAGATAGGGAATGTGTTTGAGAGTATTATTAATAAGGAATCCTGTAAGCCCCAAAAGCATATCGAGCATGGAGCTTCTTTTTGTTGTGACTCCAACAATTTTCAGCAATTCAAGTATTTAACTTTTGTTTAATCTCTGAGATGAGTTTCTCTTCCTCGAACTAGAGAAACCTGAACTAGAAGGAGCTACTCTGAACAGAAAAATAATGGAGAACAATGCATTAAAAGAATAATAACATATATTTATTATAAAAATTAATACTAATCAGGTTATACAAAGATAACAATGTAGCAACTAATTATCTATAATGTCACACAAAAGCCCAAAATTTACCCACCTGCAGGAAGAGAGCAACCAATTCCTGTATGCTTCTTTGATCACCATGTGGTCAAGTGTTAGGTAATGCAAAAGTAGCAATACATTAATTTCATGAGATTTAAGATTAATCTAGAATTCCATGGCATCCCCCATTTATTATGACAACTTGTTCCCCAGAGTTCTAACTACCTATGATCAATTCTGACCAGTTTCGATTAATTTCCAGCAAAAGGGTGAGAGATTGGACAAAATGAGATCATCCTTGGTTGATACGAATATAAATCATGTGATGTATTGCAATTGACTGATACAACAAACTATGTAAAGAATACACCACATGTGACCTTGAATTGTACTAATCCACTAATCCCCATCTCATGCTTCTGTTTCAAAATGATCATCAATTATAGGAATTCCAATTGTAGGCATGTGCCTAGAAGTTAAAAGGGAGAACTGTATGGAAGAGAGTAAGCAACAAAATGCATCAGAAAGTCTACCAAATAAAGAACTCCTTCAAGTGCAGTAAGAAAATATGTAACAAGCACATGTATCATGATGAAACATAAAACAGCAGCTGGTGAGTGACTAGGAGGACAATGCAACAAAAGGTGACCAAGGAAGCCCAAGTACTAAATGCTAGTAGAAAGGCCCGAAATGTGTCACTGAATCTTCCCTTAAATAAAGCATTTACTAGTTTCAAACACACCTTGATGCTGTAGCTCTGGCCTAGATATTTATACAGCCAGTCAACCTTAAGGTTCCATAAAGCCTTGCCCAAAGACAGGGATTTATAATAATATTCATCATAATTATACTAATAGCTGACTAGTGAAGCATTGGTTTTATTTTCAAGAAAGTTACAAAAAGCATAATTATGGCATCACCAAACAAATAATAATTAATAACATCAGTATCATAAGTAAATTTAAGAGTAACAAAAGCGTAACATGCATACTTGAATAAATATATTCAAATGCAAAGCAAAAGATGTATCTTGTAGAAGCATTCATTCATATGTAACTACATATGGTACACCAACATATATGCATACAAGTTGAGGTCATTTGTGCATCCATATGAACATAGCAAAAGCCATATGCCTTATCAAACAGAGAAATTATCGAGCTCTAAGAGCAAAAGATATATCTTGTAGAAGCATGTATTAATATGTACAAGTTGAGGCGTATGGTACATCAACATATACAAGTTGAGGTCATTTAAGCATCCATGTGAACATAGCAAAAGCCACATGCCTTATCAAACAGAGAAATTATTGAGCCCTAGTACTCAGCTAATCTGAGTTGCTTATGAACAAACAACCTTGGCATCTTGAAATCTTTCTGATTGATTCAGGAAGTTGTGAGAAACATCATATGGAAGCAAACTCATTCCATAAAGTTAATTCAGTTGGAATAAGATGAGCAAAAGAAGACCAATTTACAAAAGAAAACAAAGTGCACTTCCACAAGACTCACAAAGAAGATGGTAGGATAGCATTAAGTGCAATGAACCTTGTCTCTTGCATGCAATGAAGTTAGTTCCATGATTTTAACCATTCAACCACTGAAAATTTAGATTATACACAAGCTTAAGAATAAAAAATAAACACTTATTTCCAAGCGTTCAATGAATAATATGAACCTTAATTAACAGAACCTGATTAAACATAGCACGTGAAAATTCATTTTCCTATTTTCTGTTTCTAAAACACCATAATCATAAAAAAATTGATATTACTCTCATCAAACAAAATTGTAAACTACAACTTTTATTGACCAATAAATGACATTTGAAATATATATTTACATTATTGTGGAGAACTACTGTCATAGTTTAACCAGAAGCTGAACACTACTGCCTTAGTTCAACCATAAGCAGAAGACAATGACCCAGTGCATTCAAAAGGAGTATTAGAGTTGACAAAATAAACTAACATTCCATGTAGATATGACATCCACATAAAGTATCACAATGAAGTTTCAGAATAGCTAATATAAGCAATGCCATCATCATAACAACCTAGAAAATGTCTGCAAGGATCATACCAATCCAATTATGGTTCCTACAAGAAAAACTTCCTTCTTTTTTAGGGTAAAGGGGGACAACAACAGAAAAGCTATGGCAGGACAATATAATCAGAATGAAGCATAAAATTCATAAATTAGTGCATGATCTGTCATTAGAAGTGAAACGGCAAGGATTGGTACCTGAAAGTGAGAACTGTTCAAGCAGCGAGCAATCTGGCGGAACAGTGGAACCATACATCGCTGGAAATCTGCCGGCTGAGTTGCTTCTAGGATCTCTTCTAACTCTCCTAAGAACATGACTTCCTTTGAACTATTTGTGATAGGCCAGTATTTCAACAAGCCCCTTATAACAGTATCCGCAAGTTTGCAATCCTTTTCAATAAATTGAGTTATGCAATATGATAACTGCTGATGGTACATAGCAATGCACCTTGGCTTATGAAGTGGGATTAGAGCACGTACAAGGAACAATTTATGCTCTTCCTTCAGTGGCAATGCAAATCCACTGATAACACTTCCCAAAATCTCCAAAAGCTCTGCAATCCCATTGTGCTTTTCTGTTTCAAAGATAAACTGATAAAAAATGTTGTTAATGGCTTTTCTAATGAATGGCCTGTGCACCATAAATTTACCATAAATTCGATGAAGTATCGTCTTTAGGTACTCCCTCTCTCTAGGGTCTTCAGAATCCAAGAGATCAAGGAGCTTAAGAACAAAGGAGTGATCTATATATCTCTTGGCCAGCTTAGCATCAGTCTCTGGAGATGCAACAAACCGCAGAAAGAACTCATAGACAATCTGTAAATGTGGCCATGCAGGGTCCATTACCGGATCTTCCTCATCTGCATCAATTTTTTCCAAAACCATGTGCTCTCGAGGTGGAATAGTCAGGTTCCTAAACAAGTTGATGGACACCATCTTGGTAGTCTCTTGCATGACATTCTCTGGAAACTTTCCACTTGCTGAAGTCACATAGTCAACAAGCTCTAACAATGTCTGTCGTTTTACGTCTTTCTCCTTCAAGTTCTTTGCCGGGTCAGTGAAGTCGAACACAACACAGCACAAATCCAACTTTCGCATGAACAAGCTCTGCTTCTCAGAACTTGTGACATCCTTAAAGCTTGGCAATGCTTCATAAACTGGGACCACATAATTGCCATTCGGCCTCGAATTAACAGCTGGAGCATACTTGTTTAGTTGATTTATCCCAGGACTCGATCCAGGAGGGATCTGATTACTAAGATTTGTGATTCTACCGGCTTGCAAGTCCCCATTTCTTGAGCTGATTGAAGATGATGATGATGGAGGAGTTGGACCAGTAACTGAATCACGACTATCCGATGACTTTGATGGCTTTCGGGGGAGCCGGTTTAGTATCTGTTTAATCATGCTTGCAGGCAGGCAACTGAGTCGGAGAACAATACAGAGTATGGGGCCCTTGAGAATGTGTCTGAGGACAAATCGTTTATGAATAAGGGGTTATTTGGCTGGCAGACACTGCTTGTAGCCTCACAGGCCTTACTTTACCATCGTGCATTAGATAATAAAGGGAATTTACGACGAATTCCTTGACAAGTTCCACATTGGATTCGTCATGACCTAAAGACATTCACAACAAGAGGAGAAATTTCTCTACACAAAGACCCATTACCAAGCACAGATGAAACCGAAAACGTAAAAAATTTTCCACCTTGCTTCTCTCAATTCGTCAGACTGGCGTCTCCGGCGCAATCAAAGAAGACGGTCCCAGCGCCTAAATCAACTGCGAAGCTTGATTCGATCAAAAGGCCTCGAGCCGATTCGGAGGTCCGGAACGAGCTGGTGGCGATCTAGAGTGCTCAGGACAGCGTTTTTCAAGATGAAATCGAAGGTAAGATGCACCGAATGACGAAGTCAAAGACGAAAAATGATTATAAGAGAGGCCATCTCCGGATCGAACAAGAAAACCCCATAATTGCAGAGAGGAAAATATCTAACAAAAGGCTACCTTTATCTTATTGGTGCTCCAGAAAGCGGACTTTCCACCTCGCCTCTGATCGCCCGCTGCCGCTTTGCTCCAATTGGAAGAGGAGGAGGATCGAGAGAGAGAGAGAGAACAAACAATACAAGGAAAAAGGGAGACCCCCCAACCCTTTTCTTAATTTCCCCCCTCTGATCTGTGGAATTGTTTATTGAGCCGATTAGGATGACCAGCACGGAAAAGAAAAAATAAAATAAAATAAAAAGGAAATCCCCCAAACGAAACCACGACTCAGGAAATGCTGCTACTCTCCGGGCCTCGAAAAGTCAATGCGGCGGGGCCCACCAGCCACCTCACCTCCCTTTCCTCTGATTGTATGAGTGGCTCGAGATGGGCAGCCCCGGAAGGCAGCAGAGCTCTGCTCGACTGGCGCGGTGGGGATGATGATGACCGCCTCCACCTCGCCTCCGTTCGGTTCGGCATGACGACAGCAAAGAAGCTTGCTGGGGATGTTGGCGATGCAAAGCATCACGAAGGAAGTCGGTTCCGCTTAGCTGGATCAGCTGAAGCCACCACATCCAATCCATTAGCCGCTGGAGAAGATGCTGACGAGCATAATACTGTTTGACCGTCGGATATTTAACGAAACGTGTCATAAACCAGCGTCAACGGGCGAACACACGCATGCAAAGTTTGAGACACCAGTTAACTTAGGAGAAGCAGAGGAATAATGAGAGAGAGAGAGAGAGAGAGAGAGAAGAAACGAAGCTTGTGACAGTAGTGAGGTAACAAAGTTCATCAACCATCAACTTATTTGATGGAAAATCTCATCTATATGACCTATAACCTCAATAAAACCATACTAATTTATTATTTAAGATTCTTTAATTAATAATGATTTGATAATATAAAGTCGTTCTAAAGTTTGGACAGATTAAAAGAAAAAAATCAATTAGTTTTCTCACTGGTTTATTTTTTATATTTTATTACAAATTTACTTAGAATTTTGAATGAAAAATCCTTCCTAAAAATCAGAATCTATGCGAGTATATGATCAAACGTGCAGTCAATACTTAAATTGAAAGCCACGGACGTTTTCGAGATGCTCCCTAATGTTGGGGCTCACTATGAAAATGCTCTATATTAGTACGATAGAGTCTAAATAAAAGATCAAGTGTGGGAATCTCTTGTGGTAGATGCGGGGGCCCAAAAGCCGACTCCCTGTGACCTACCATGTTAACTAGTAAAGAAATAATATAAAGGGCGGAAAGCAGTTAGTACCTTTTCTTTTCCCCACCTAGCATCAAAGTCTCCTTTAGCTGTTCCAAGCACTGAATAGAACAACTCATCAAAATGAGGTCGTTAGTGGCAGAAGGGACAGCAAACGGTACCTGCCTTGCTCACTGCTTGATTTGAATAATGGAGGAACCCTAACATAACACTGCACCTTAATAGAAAAAAAAAATGGATATATGATTAAGCCCTCGGCAACAAAAGAGACGATGAATTAGGAGTTGGAAGCAGACCCTAACATAACACTGCATCGTAATGAATATGAAGAATCACAAGAAACTCCTGTTCCATCTTGCAGCACTTGTTAATCCACATGCACGTATCCAGCAGTTAAGTCCCGGACAAAACCTGGTCACTCATCAAGCAATCTATACCAAGTCAAGCGCTCTCTGAGTCAGTGATCATATTGGCTGTGTCGATTCCATATAATTAATGCCATATAACATCAAACGACTGATTTAAAAGCAACAGCCCATTGACAAACTTCCAGACCAACATTTGAAAAGATTTCACAAAAACACAAAAACTCATCGGAATCATAATCTTGGAGTCATGCTCTGAGAAAGTTCAGCCGACTTAAGTTAATGTTGGAACACATTCAATGAGTATGCATGCCCTTTACAAGCTATTTCTGGTTTTGCTCTCAATAAATGAATGAATTGCTGGCTCTCTTCCCAAGTAATCTGACAGAATCTCAAGGGAGTCCTTGGCTCCTCCTGGAGCTAATACCTGCATAATAGTGATCATACCAATTCTAGATATTGAAATGAAATCACAAATTAATAGCACAGAAGAACAACTAGTCTAGAATTGAATTTAGTAACAAGTGTTTCTGCATTGAGAGACTATAGTACATTATGAATTCTGCATATAAGGAATATCATTTGCATATATACCGATTAACAATAAGTAACATATATAAATGACCATAATTTGTGTACCCAGTTCCTAGAGCTCATATGTTCTTTGTTTAAAGGATATAAATCTGATTTTTTTCAATCAATTAAACTCCTGTAAACAAAAAGTCTTGTTTACAATATGAAGAGTAAGTGGATGCCACAATGCCAATTCATTCTGCTCTTTAGCATTATCCACGTTATAGATCACAGATAGTGTCATGCAAGGGACTTCTGTCACCGTATACTGAGATCATAATTGAATGTATTCAATGTCTTTTTCCAGGTCCAGAATATTCCATAATATATTACCATTTAAGATGCATCTTTTTCTCCTATAACCTCACAAGACAAGGTGTTTATAATCAAAGATCATCCCGTATCAAACAGCATGTTCTGTTTGTGTAAACTTCAATTCTCTGATCTGTGAAATTGGACTGGAATGATTGGTTTTTAAGATTTAGTTAAGTTTAGAGTCAATTTTTTTTTTTGGCAAAAAGGCATAGATGCAGTTGAAATTAGAAAAAAGGACAGTGTACAAAGCCCCCGCCAACGTGCAGCAACAGTCGATGTGAGTTTTACTCGCATAAGCAGAGAGGCTACTTCTGTGAATATATACTTAAAATTGATGTAAAAAATTATAATATAGCATCGGCTATCATTATCACAACCCACTGCAACTAACAAGCTAACTTGAATCAAGTATACCACATTAATAAAGTCCAAAACACTTAGCTCAAATTATTAGGAGCGAACTACTCGAGTTTGTTGCATGAGAATTGATCATTTGCAAATTTTCTAATATTAGATTATGAGAATACTGTGATCATAGTTTGCAATTTCAGCTGATTTTCATATGGTACAACACCACATAGTTATCATCTAACACCAATCCGATTTAGACCATTCATTGACTTTATAGTTCAAATGACTAGATCAAACTTGATTAGATTTAGCAAATTTTAATCATTTTTTATTGATTTGATAACCAGAAAAGAAGAAAGAAAAGAGTAGGAGTGGTAGAAGAAGGAAGCCCACATGCCCACCGCCCACTCCGGTTTATCTCCTCCTTTTCCTCCTATCTTGATTAGATTTAGCAAATTTTAGTCATTTTTTACTGATTTGATAACCAGAAAAGAAGAAAGAAAAGAGTAGGAGTGGTAGAAGAAGGAAGCCCACATGCCCACTGCCCACTCCGGTTTATCTCCTCCTTTTCCTCCTATCCTCTTCCACAATGAACTGTGGTATATTCTGACACACCAATGCACAGTATGCCTCAATGGACCAGACTCATATCGGTCCAACCATGTCAATAGTCAAAATTGATTCTAGTTACTGACTAAAGACATGCCTGAAAGCCCGGGTAACCGGTCATGTCCCTGTTGGAAAGAAGCTTCAACCAAAGCAAGACATCTTGGTTGAAGCTTGAATCCATTGTAGAAATAGATCAAATCTAACTCCTAAATAATGATCATTTGTCTGATTGAATAACTAGAGGGTATTTTGACCAAACATTGTTAAACTGCTATTCTTTTGGAAATTACGTCTAATCAATATTAGACAATTACCTTATTTCTGAACTGCAACCCTGCATACTGATTCAGCAAATCCTCCTGAAACTTTGCTGCAAATATGTCAGCAGCAACAACCTGTAAGATCAACGATTCATTAGCAATTTCCTTTTTACTTCAGACAGAAAACATTTTTGCTACAATATTTTTGTAGGATGTCAATGATTGGAATCAGAAATAACAATTTCTTGGATCTGATAGCATTGACTAGATTCAATTTCTTGGACATGATCTAACAAATTAAGAGTCTAATATGAAAGACAACTAAGAAAGTCTAACTAAAAAACAATCTAGGTTAAACATGAGACATCATTTAATAGTTGATAATTAAACATTTACGGACAGTATAACATCACAAATTCATAAGATATTGAAATATATGGCTTTTGTAAAAAAATAGTTTATAAAGCAAAATTCAAATTTCGAAGCTTCCACAAGAGGAGTTCTGAGTTATAGTGCTAGTCAATTCTATCATATGAATTATTTTTTTAGTTATTTTATTGGTGAATCGAGGCATACTGTACCACAACAACCACAACAATCAATAAGTACCAAGCTTCGTTTTAAGGTTCAAAGGAATACACAAGGGTGCAGAATTCTCGCATGACACAGATGACAAAATAAAAATTTTGTCTAATGTAGTATCAAACAGAACAGTCTTTATCCTGATTGCTGATTTATGAAGCCATGTGATTATGAAAGGAAAAGAGAGAACCCAAACCTCACTCCAAATATAACTGTAGCAAATGGCTTCAGAGCCAATAACAATTTGGGGGAAACAAGAGGCTGGGTTGGTCCCTTCCAAAAGTGGTATCCCCAGCATTACCTAGAATAAAGCAGCCTGTGTTAAAGGAATTATAAATTGACCAACAGAATAACAATTGGTCCAAGTATACCTTAGGATGTAAATGCTTTAGTAACTCTAATATGTCGACATTTTCACTTGAATGTATAAACTGATCTATGAGGCCTGCCAAAATGAACAGCTTTCAGCAGCTTTAGCAGTATGGAAATCATGGGACAAAAAACAGTAATTTGTTTTATAATACTAACTGGAGAGCATATAGAAATGACAAACAAGCCAATTAACTGGAAATATCAGCCCTTAAGACCAAGGACTGCTGTATTGCTCGAAACGATATGGTATAGGCAGTACATATCGGTCTGGGCATGGGCCGATACACGGGCGACCACCCCCGTTTCAGGCGATCCAGTTAAAATTATAAAAAAAACAAAAAAAGTGCTGGGGCAACTCAGGATTAAAAAAAAAATAGGGCTTGCAAACATGAGCCCTCTTCTTGCGTACAATGCCGCTACTCCTCTTTTTCTTTCTTCATTTTCTTCTTCTTCTTCTTCTTCTTCTTCTTCCACCGCTTTGTCTTCTTCCTTCATCCTTTTGTTACTCCATCACCCCTTCCTCTTCTCCCTCCTTTTCCTCCTCACCGAAACATCAGTATGCACCAACGTACCATGTGTCAATACACTGGTATTGTGTTAGAACCCTTGCAAATTCTAACTTGGGGTTGATCTCTTTAGGGGATCGGCCTCCTTAGAACTCTATAGGGGTTCCTCCCTCCAAGTTGCTGCTCAAATGCTGCAGAAAAGATTCATCTATTGCTTATCAAAAGAGGATGAATACATGACTATTTATAGGGTTTCTAAACCCTAACTCCTAATAGGACTCTTACTCAATTAAGACTCCTACTCAAGATTCCTAATAGGACTCCTACTCAAGACTCCTATTCCTTTACAACTTCTAATTCTTCTCTAAGAAATAACCTTCAAACCCTAGCCGGCCTCTTCACTTCTTTAATAGGGGTCGGCTTAGGTAGATTTTACATGAATGCCCCTCTCAATTAGGACTCTCCTAGCTAGAGTCCTAACATACTGATCGGCATATACCGATCCAATAGATCACTAAGACGAGTCCAATACCCAAATGGTGAACCTTGCTTAAGACCTTGATGAGGAGCATGGTTCGCCTTACTGGTCTATATTGATGTACTGACCAACTATCAATACGATACGTACCAAGTTATACCGAGACATATCGAGTGTACCGACACATGATACATAAGGGCATACCGATATACTGCCCGTTCTGGTCCTCTATCTGACAGGTACGTATCGCCCTTACCAAGCAGTACACCGCGATTCGTCAAATGTTGATGAGAAGCATCACATTCCAAATTAATACTTGTAAATAAATCTTACACCCAAACAAGAAAGCACATATATACAAATGCTTGTATGAGTGTCTTTGAGTTTTACTATATAAAAGCTACATCTCTAGTATACAATTAACTCAAAATTGATCAGAAATGAAGAAACAAAAAAATATTTAACAGTTAAAGTAAAAAATGCAAATCTATCTTAATATTATCCAAACAAGTATTGTGATAAAGGACATATGCAATAAACCAACTACAGGGATCATATCAAACAAAACAATACATATCTTGAACATAGTTTTTCCACACAAACAGTACTGTATATGAAAAAATTATATGTAAAACCAGATAAAGTTAATAATTGAGACCATAAAACAACAAAAGGCAATGAGATCAGATCCAAGTTGGGATCAGTTGTTGTAGGATTTTTTTTTTTTAATGATACCAGATCATGATGGAAAAAAAGTTAATAGCAAGTACAGAATCAGTCCATATATGGTTAAAAGATATTCAGAAGCATCCAGCTGCCAGACAGAATTCATGAGTCAAAGGTCTCTAATTTTGATGTTCTGCAGCTAAATTGATATTTTGTAAAAGAAGGTTCTGGTTTTTAAGCTATGCCCTCAGAAGAACTTGATAATATGATCAGCAGTTCTAAAATAGAAACTTGTTGGTTTGCTCAATATTAATATTTAGTTATTTATTTATTTCAATCGACAATAGAAAGTTCAGTTTTTCTGGTTTCAAGGAATTCATTGCGAAGATAAGAGCTCAGTGTGCAAGAGCTGATCATCATTGTTAAATGAGAAAGGATAATTGATATTAGAAAGACACCCATTTCTTTCACAAATCGTGATTCCTTTTTTGCTGTAATCAACTGAATTTAGCAAAGTAAATTGTGAAGCTAAACGTAGGAGATGTTGGAAATAGTCCGAGCATTAACTTTTCTGCATTACCATTCTTTACAAAGTGATTGAATAGGAGTTTTCATTTTCTTTATCAAGTATGTTATTATTTTTTCTTTTTTCCTAGAAACTTCTTTTACTGTATGTCTGCCATGCAGCTGTCAGAATCAGTACACTAGTTGTTTCCATCCAGTCAATATAGTATATTAAAGAATCAGCAACTGGACCCCTATGCAAATGCTGATGTTGTTTTAGCCAATATTTTTCTCAAATTGCTTATCATATGCTCTTTCTCCAAGATTTATCAAATTGTTAGAGTGTCGCATCCAACACAATTCTCTGGTTAAAAAAGAGAAGCAGCCTCCAAACAATTCATAAAAGATTTTCATGTACTAACCAAGCTAGTTTGATTGCAACGGTAGAGAAACACATCCAAGCATGAGCCACATGCTTACAAGCATTCCTATTTACAAGGCAGTTAGTGCCTAAATCACCAAATCTAACTAGTATTCAATAATGGCCTAGAAAATACAAAACATATGTGCTATGTGACACTGCAAAAGGCCTCCCTAATTAGTGTTCCTGCTATCCAGCTCAGTGCAACTTTGTGGGTCCTACGGGGTTCAGCAGCCCTATAGTGGCTGCATATGGTTGGTGTCAGCCAGGCTAACATATAGTCTGGCTTGGACTGGGTTGCTACTTCCAAACTAGGGCTGCGGCAACTGGTTGTGGCTTGGCCAGACCTAGTCCAGTTTGGCTTAGGGCTGGAATTTTTGCACCTATTTCTCTCCTAACTTGATTAGTAAAGCTCATTCCAACTGTCTAGTGTTAGAACCCTTGCAGATTCTAAACTTAGGGTTGATCTCTTTAGGGGATCGGCCTCCTTGGAACTCTATAGGGGTTCCTCCCTCCAAGTTGTTGTTCAAAGGTTGCAGAAAAGATTCATCTATTGCTTATCAAAAGAGGAGGAACACATGGCTATTTATAGGGCTTCTAAACCCTAACTCCTAATAGGACTCCTACTCAAGACTCCTACTTCTAACCAACTCCTAATAGGACTCATACTCAAGACTCATATTCTTTTACAGCTCCTAATTCTTC